CACGGGGCGGGGGTCCAACTGGGGCGCTGGGGAAAGGGGGGGAAGGTGGGAGGTGGCGTGCGTCGCGACGCGGAATAAAATTGTCGGGGCGGAAGGGGCACGGGGCGGAGCCCCCACTGGGGCGCTGGGGACGCGGGGAGGGAGGTAGGGGAGGTGGTGTGCGGCGCGACGCGGGATGAAGCGTTAGTGGCGGAAGGGGCAGTGGGCGTGGCCCCCGCTGGGGCGCTGGGGACGCGGGGGGGCTCGGGGCGGAGAACCACGGCGCGGGGGTCCCACTCTGGCGCTGGGGGCGCGGAGGGGGGGGGGCGACGCGTAATGCAGCGTTCGTGTCGGAGGGGGCAGTGGGCGGGGGCCCCGCTGGGGCGCTGGGGGCGCGGTGGGGCTTGGGGCAAACAGCCACGGCGCGGGGGCCCCACGCTGGCGCTGGGGACGCGGGGGCGGGGGGGGGAGGTGCGACGCGGGATAAAGCGTTCGTGGCGGAGGGGGCAGTGGGCGTGGCCCCCGCTGGGGCGCTGGGGACGCGGCGGGCTCGGGGCGGAAAGCCACGGCGCGGGGGCCTCACACTGGCGCTGGGGGCGCGGGGGGGCGGGGGGGGGCGACGCGGGATAAAGCGTTCGTGGCGGAGGGGGCAGTGGGCGGGGCCCCCGCTGGGGCGCTGGGGACGCGGGGGGCTTGGGGCAGAGAGCCACGGAGGGGCGGAGAGGGGTCGGAGGGGGCGGTGCGTTGGGCTGGTCTGCTGGGGAGAAGGGGCGGGGGGGGGCGACGACGACGCCGAAAATAAAGTGGTCGGGGCGGAGGGGGCGGGCGCGCTGGGCTGCTCGGAGAGGGGTGTGTGTGTGGGGGGGGGGGGGGGGGGGGGCGACGACGACGCCGAATAAAGTGGGTCGGGGGCGGAGAGGGCGGCGCGCTGGGCTGCTGGGGAAAAAGGACAGGGGGGGGGGAGGGGGCGACGACGACGCCGAAATAAAGTGGTCGGGGCGGAGGGGGCAGCGCGCTGGGCTGCTGAGGAGAGGGGGGAGGGGGGGGGGGCGACGACGACGCCGAAAATAAAATCGTCGGGGCGGAGGGGGCGGTGCGCCGGGGTGCTGGGGAGCGACGCGTAGCGACGCATGTCGACACAACGCCGAAATAGGGCTACGACGACGCCGAAATAAAGTCGTCGGGGCGGAGAGGGCGGTGCGCTGGGCTGCTGGGGAAAGCGACACATGTCGACACAGCGCCGAAATAGGGCGACGACGACGCCGAAATAAAGCGGTCGGGGCGGAGAGGGCGGTGCGCTGGGCTGCTGGGGAAAAGGGCCGGAGGGGGGGCGACGACGACGCCGAAATAAAGTGGTCGGGGCGGAGGGGGCGGTGCGACGACGCCGAAGGGCACTGGGCAGCTGGGGGCGGGGGGGGGCGACGACGCCGAAATAAAGTGGTCGGGGCGGAGGGGGCGGTGCGACGCCGAAGCGTGCTGGGCAGCTGGGGAGGGGGGGTGGGGGGGAGCGACGACGCCGAAATAAAGTCGTCGGGGCGGAGGGGGCGGCGCGCTGGGGTGCTGGGGAGCGACGCATAGCGACGCATGTCGACGCATATCGACATATAGAGAGACATATATCGACACACACACATCGACGCATAGCGACATACAGCGACACATAGCGACGCACACATGGAGACGCATAGCGACACACAGCGACACATATAGCGGCACATGAAGGGCACAAGGCACACAGCGACACATATAGCGACACATGAAGGGCACAAGGCAGCTGGGGGGGAGCGACGACGACGCCGAAATAAAGTGGTCGGAGCTCTAGACACCCTGTGCAAGAGAATAAAGTGGTCGGGGCGGAGGGGGCTGTGCGACGCCGAAGGGCACTGGGCAGCTGGGGAGGGGGGGGGGCGACGACGCCGAAATAAAGTGGTCCGGGGCGGAGGGGGCGGTGCGACGCCGAAG